CAGAAGAAAAAACAGTTAACAGACGATTAGTAATTATTTTTTAACATATACTATTCTAGTGATATTAAAATTAGTATACTAGTGATAATTTCTGACGTATAATATATAAATAGAATAGAATAAAAAATGCACAAAAGCAGACACATAGCAGTGCAGTCGAGCAAAACTTTGATACATTCCTAGATATTTCAGAGGAGAAGTTAGCAAATAAAAAGCAAAGAACTTTAGTTTCAGACCAGCCTGCACCATGAGTGAGAAGTGGGGCTATGCGCTCTGCATGCCAAGTGGGAGAGAAAGGGCAATGAAGTAAAACATGACCTTCTGATTCCACTGCAGAGTTGGAATAGAAGCAGAAACATAAGGGACGTTACTAACGTGAATGATTTTCTCTATGTAGTAGAACCTGTTTTCTGTACAGTTAATAGGGGAATGTGAAAAGATTATGAAATAAGTCCTTGACATCATAAAATGGAATTTTAGATCTGTCATTCTGTATGTCCAGATCAAGGACTCTTTGGTTTAACTACTTGCATGACTTTTGTCTATTCCAAGTGATCTTAGGAATAGGGCAGAAAAACCACAGAATGACAAATCATTGCCAATGGTCTTTTTTCCAGGTGGAAGTCAACTGACCTGACAAAGTAAACTGGGCCAGCGACTCAGCTCAGAGGGTGTGTCTTAGCCAATACTTCAGGCAACAGTTTTCATTCAAGGTGCCATAGAGAGGCATCCAAGTTCTAACTGAAGAAGCACAATCAGCGTGGAGTGGAAAACTTACAATAAAGTTGTGATGAATTTGGATTGGATGGTTTCAACATGTGAATGATCAGAATATGCACAGGCCTGATCACTAAAAACATCAGGTTTAGCACCTGAGCACTGAAAACTATAATGGTTGCAGGGAGCAATACGTTCCCATTGCAGCTAGCAAATCTGATGACAACACTGGTGCTACATGAACTTAAGTTGTATCCAGGAAGTGGATGGCTGGAAATAGATGCCTAGATATTTAAACACCTTTGCGCAATGGGATGGCTATTGATTTTCCACATATGCTGACAACATCATTTGGTGAACAGCAACATTTTCATTTCTGAATAATTCCAGTCCCACAGTGAACAGCATCTTCATTTCTGAGTAATTTGTATTTCCTGCACCATAGTTTGGCAGTATTCTGTCAATGTTCAAAGGCTAAATTACATGTCCAAAGGCTATAGTAGAGTCCAACATGAATGAGGGAAAGAACAGCTGAATCATCAGCGAAGAACTGTGAAAATTAGTCTCTAATTTAGTTAGGCAGATGAAATTCATATTTGCAGAGGATCTGAACAATTCCATTAACATAAAAGTTTAATAAAGTCGGGGGGGGGTGAGAATGCACCCTTGC